CGGCCCTCCAGCCAGTTGCCAACCCATTTGACTGTGTGGGTGTCTATGCCACAGCCTCCCATTTTCTTAATGAGAACGAAGTGAGAGACAGTGTCAAAAGCCTTCCGGAAGTCCAGGAAGACTATGTCCATTGCTACCCCTGCATCTAATGATCTGGTGATCTGATCATAAAAAGCCAGATTGGTCTGACAGGATTGGTCTGACAGGACCTGCCACTGATGAACCCGTGCTGATTGCCCCTAAGCATGATCTACTTGGGGCTGGTCCTGCTCTGAGCAGTAGGTTGGACTATATGTGATCTCCTGAGGTCCCTTCCAACCCTCATTTTTTATGATACAGAGGTTACCTGGTATTGTCTGGAAGAAGAGTGATATGTTCCTGACACAGTAAATTATTAAGAATGAAAGCACTGATGGTATATATTTGTTTTAGTTCCATGAGACAGGAGAAAGAAGTTGGATAAATTATTCTTAAACAGGTTGTCACTTGAACAGTTGTGATGCATATATTCTCCTACACTTCAGCACATGTGGAGGTGGATGTAGTTTAGGTTGTCTACTGAAATTTACTTAAAATGGGGTATACGTGTTTTGATTTCTCTGTGGGTTTTTTGGCGTCTGAGTTCTAGCTACGGCTGTAGCTCTTGGCCTTAAGCTTTCTCTCCCATACTCCAAACTCTGCCTGTACCTCTCATTCCCAGCCCACAGCTCTCTGTCAGCCCATTGTCCTTCCCTCCACCCCATACCATGTCTGGTAGATGTAGTCACTCACCTTCCATCAGGGATAAACTTCATACACATGGGATCAACCCTGTCTCACTCCATAGGTAGTCCCAGACAGGGTCTCAAACAGTTAGCCTTTCTGCATAACTTATAACTGAAGAGAAACAGCAAAGGGTTAAGATCAGCTCTAGTTCTCACTGTACAGCACAGCCACCCCTTCCCCATCTCATCCTCTACTGCCTCCTAATACTTGGTTTGGAAATGAAGAAGGGGGTGGAGTAAAGGCAATGTACAGGCAAAACAAAGTACTAGCAGATATTTCACCTGAAACTGAGATGTCAGGGAAATGCTGTGCGAGAAGAATCTTCTTAAGAGCCTGGATAAGAAAAAAAATTCTTTTTTGAATGTAACTTTGGAGGAATTCTTTGCAGCCAGCACAAAAGTAAATGTTCCTTCAACTGCAAAGCAG